TATCTTTTCATTTTCTATGGTGATGAATTTTAATTTAAAATATATATGACTACAATTTCTCTTTCACCTGTTAATAATGCAGATAATATAAAGAACAACCAAAGAATGTCTCTTTTTAGTATCCAATGCCATATTGCCTTGTTAAATTTTTAAAAATAATTAACTCGAGCAGCGATAGATTGTGCTACCTTAATTGATACTTACTCGGATCTCTGACTGAGATGAGTTTGTCCTTTGCGTTGCCCTTCTCATTGTTCATTTATTATATTTACTATTGCTTTTTCTGAAATTTTATGATTGAGCTAGATGGTAACATACTGACATAACTAACAGCTAGGAAGTTAATACAAAAAAGGGATTTTATGGAACTTGAAAGATAAAGTAGTAAAATAGGTGATAGTTTTATTTGGCGTCTTGGCGGGGACTCTGAATACCCGCGGGGATAGGGACGGAGGCAATTTTTGACCCTCCGCCAAAAATCCCCGCGGGGTCCCCGTACCCGCCATTGACGGGGATGGGGATGGGGAGGGGGTCCCCGCCCCCGTGGGGACCCGTTGCCATCCTTATCTACTTCGGCTACGTCCATAGTGACCACGAGTCACCAGTTCTACTTCGGCTCCGACCATAGTGACCCCGAGTCACATATTTTACTTCAGCTTCAACCATAGTGGTCCCAAGTTACATATTCTACTTTGGCTCCCGCCATAGTGACCACACGTCACCTATATTACTTTGGCTCTAGCCACAATGATTGAGTCATGAATTTTTAACTCGGCTACGGCCCAAAACGCATGACTCTGCATCATGCATTTTTACTTAGGCTACGGCCCTAACACATGACTCCGTATCATGCATTTTTACCTCGGCTATAGCCTAAAGCACGACTTCATGTCATACATTGTTATATCTATTGCCCCCATCTACACTCATCTTCCACACTAATCATTCACAAGTGAATGACTCCGGGAGGGGGAATAGTGTAAGGGTAGTAATATAACTAGTCCATAAACATAGTGAAGGCCCATGAGGCCCAAATACAAAAGAGCACATGCATAAGTTACTATGGAGTTCATATACACTCAAATAGATCCAAAGGGACCAACAGCATTGCAACACATGTCCAGCATTCCCAAAGGATTTATAAATACCCCCACACCCCTCAAAGGTACGGGACTCCTCCTCCAGTATTTCTCTCTAATACACTCCATTCTCTCTAAAGAGCTCTAAGTGTAGACTGTTGCTGACTTAAGCATCGGAGTGTCTACCCCGAGGGCCACCCTCGGGGCTTTACAGGTCTATTGGACGAGAAGATCTGAGCAAGGAAGGCCTTGAAGGTTTTTTGCAACAACAATGTTCAAATTCTAAATAAACTAGGAGTAACTATTTCATGGTTCCAAAGAATGATCTACATAATTCACCCCAAACAACTGAGACCTTATACTTTGTTACACTTTAATTTGAGCTTGAAAGTTGAAACTCTTGAACACTTGTGGGGCCATCACATGGTGATAAAGCAGCATTTAGGGATCACTAATAAAGTTTTTCATGTTCTTAAGCAAGCTATATATTCAGCCTGAGAGAAGAAGGATTCTAACAACTGCGCAAAAGTGCCTACTGCAAAAGTGCAAAGCAAATTACTATTCATATTCATCCAATTTCAAAATAAAGTCTGTGTTCCCTGTGTTCACAAACACAAAGGTGAAAGTGTGAAACCTTCTTATTGAAATTCAAACTCCCAATTCCAACCTCCGTAGAAAATGTCTGATCGAGCTGCTCAATTATTTCTTTTTTTTTTTTTTTGTTTTATATATAGAAATATGGTATCATTAAATTATGTGATCCGATAACGGAGTTATCTATACTGTTAATCACAGGTCTATAATTCAATCTCTAACCTCTCAATACCAAATATATGAACTGTCCATATAAGTTATACTTTAGTTGGATTAATTACAATGTAAACTATATCTTATCATATAAGTTACATTTTAATTGTTAAAACATTTTAATTTTTTTGCAGGCTCTTTTCATTTGAAAAAAAATCAAGATGTCTTCACATTTTTAAAAGTTAGAACTATTTATAAAATTATTCAAATAACATTAATAAATCATTTAAGTTTTTCATTATTATCCCTAACATTAATTACTGAAAAAACTTGACTTTAAGTGGCTTCCGAATCGACATCAAATCGGAATTGGGTTCGATTCACTCACAGCAGATTACAAAGTTGTGAAGATTGCGGATATCATGACTGTTTAGGCAGCTTCGAGATCTAATACCGTAGACGTCTTCAATTGCTTCAACACCTGAAATTTTTGAGGATGCTTTTTTGGAAAAAATACTACGACGCTTAAGTTAGCAATACTCAATATTGTAGAGAGAGATGCTCCTAAAGAGTAATTGCAGAGAGAGAAGGCGTAGTGGAGTTAATATCTTGCATGGAGGTAATTGGGGGTATTTATAACCCCATATACTGACATGAGTTCAGACGTGTATGCATTTAATCGGCCCACGTGTTACTGTTCATATGAGTGTGTCTTCTCATGTTGGGCTTGTGAGCATATAATTGGGCTTATTATGTGTGGCCCGGAGTGGGTATTGGGCCTAATCGCAACAATGACGATTAACCCTTATGTATATGAAAGGTTCACAGGAGCTCAAATTTACTCTTTAAGATCAAATACATGGAAAACAGTCACCTTTTTTGACTCTAGGATTGATATATGCTATATCTGCAGCGCACAGCATTCATCAATGGAGCTTTCTATTGGCTTGCAAAGAAAGAATCTAAGTATCATAATTTTAATTTATCACCCAAAAGCAGCAAAGGTTTATTCATTTTGTCCTTTGATTTCGACGAAGAAACATTCAAAGAAATCAGTTTACCAGAATCCCTCTAGCAAGAAGGATATTTTTTACTACCACCCCCTTTTTGCATGGGGGAATTCAAGGGGAAACTTTACCTGACACTAAATAATGGTTTTTCCTTTGAGATATGGTTGATGATGGAAGATGGTTCCTGGGTTAGAACATCTTGTGAGCAACATTATAGGTGAACTTTCAGTACTGCCACTCCCTTAGGCCTTGGGATGAACAATGAAATTATATTCTTAAAGCGGTTGCAGAATTGGAACGATAATCTAGTTGAGAATTTTGTTGCTTGCGATATTGACACAAGAACACTTGTGGATCATGGAACCAGAAAACCAAGCAACATGTTCCTTTACGCCCCAAGCTTGGTCTTGCTTGGAGAAGAAATCCGGTCGTTTAAGGAAGCTCTGCCCTCGAAACATTTCCCTCTCCGGCATCATAACATCGTAGGAGGCAAAGAAATTGGAAACTCAGGGCCTGTTTGAATAGAACAGGATTGTTCTTTCGGGCAGGTTGTTTTTCTGAACCGATTATTTTGCGAGGTAGATTATGTTGTTGGGCAGATAATTTGCATTAGATGTTTGAACTTGTACAAATTCGCTAATTTCACTGGGTTAAAACTCTGTTGAATCTCGAAAATCTCTCTTTCATGGAATGGATTTCTAATGCATTGAGATGCCTCACTAGTAGAAATAGAGATTAATGGGGAGCTAGTTTATAGTTTCTTTGTTTGAAATTTATTGTTTTTGTATATTAGCCCCTCAATATTAGTGGCTAGTCATATATATTGATGTTTATGGGTCTTAGTACCCTTTGTGCTTAAATAATAAAACGCTTTATTTTTTCAAAAAAAAAAAAAAATTGCTTTAGATGTTACTTTTGAAAATTTTTCCTTTTAGTAATTATAATTGACTTTATTGAAAGATATACATAGTTAGTTATATTTCTTTTATACTTACTGGTTTTTATTACAAAGTAAAGTACAATTAGTTACCAAAAAAAATATATCAACTTATTAGGTAAAATATAGTTACAAAACTAAAATAATTGCTTGTAAGGTAAATATAAGGGAAAAGTCTTACTGGAGGGCAGCTCCCTTCTCTACCTGTTTTTCTCTTTTCTTTTTTTTCTTTTTTTTTTTTTAATAAAAATTAAGAATTGAATTCTAAACCTATAATTAATTAAGAATACAAATAACTTTATCACCGAACCAAATGTTTGATGGTTGGATTTCTCATGCATTTGGTTGCCTTGAAAATCTATTTAATTTGATGATGAATTTTTAATTTCTATTTATTTTTGTTCTTGTGAGAGCGGCTTTTTGTTGAAGATTTTTAATTGTAAAGGTGATAATGAATATTTTCTGAACTCAACGCAAAGCTCATTATATTTACTTGCTCTGGCTTCAAACAGCCTGATGATGACCTTTAGATCTAGTAGGCTATCTACTCTATACAAGAAAATGAACTAATTCAAAAAATCTATCTTCACTTACTGATGAATCCTTGAAAAGTTACATAGCATTATGGGAAAAGAAAGAAGATAATTGCTTTTATTGGTGGCAATCTTGGCCTTCTTAATTAGTTTGGTAGAAACTCAACTGCCCGTACATCATTGTGATGTGCTCCCCAGGATGGTTGTAACTAATCTCTAATGCCATTCTTGCTATGTACCAAAATAAATAAATAAATAAATAAATAACTGCATGTCAAAAAAAAAAGAGACAAAAATGGATTTTCTATACAAAAAGTGTATTTACTAAAAATACCAAAAAAGTGTTGTAATTAATTATATAATTTAAATTATTAAATAATAGTAGGTCTTTAATAATGATGCTAATTTTACATTAAACACTAAAATATCTTTATTTTTACTTTTAAAATAATTAAGATATTTTAAACTTTTTTAATAAGATTTCATTAAGACTACATAATTTTAAGCTATGTTTTTACTTAATTTTTTATAATACACATTGATACTTATTCTTTTATCTTACATATATTTATATTTTTTTTTTATCCAAACCATAAGCAAAGACTCAAAATGGAAAGATCATTAGTCCAAGGCAGAATTTTCAACATCAACTTAATCTTACGTATCCAAATGCAAAATAAAATAACAACTAGTCCAGTACCATGTAGCGGTTCCAAAGAATGATCTACATGGTTCTCCCCCAAAAACCAAGCCTACCCTTTAATTCAAGCTTGAAACTCTAGTACAGTTGTGGGGTCATCACATGCTGATAAAAGCAGTATTTAGGGATCACTAATAAAGTTTTTCTTGTTCTTAAGCAAGCTGTTCAGCCTGAGAGAAGGATTCTACGGTGCAAAACTTGCCAACTGCAAAAGTGCAAAGCAAATTTACTATTCATATATTCATCCAATTTCAAAATAAAGTCTGTGTTCCCAGAGACCAAAGGTGAAACCTTCTTGTTGAAATTCAAACTCCCAATTCCAACCTCCATGAAAAATGTGAAAACAATTCAAACTCCCAACGAATACAGAACAAAAGGCGGTTCCTTTAAATCTTCCCAAGTTTCTGACACATAACAGAGCACTTCACTTTTTTTCCGATTGGTAATAAAACACTGACCCCATCGCGAGATTTTGCTTGTACTGTCCCTCCCTCTTTCATCTTCCTTAAATTTCTCGCAAAGCACGCGCCTTTCCATTTTCGCTATCTCCCTTGATCACTGTTGTGTCCTCCTCCTCCATCGTTTGTTTTCTTTCTACGTCTCTCTCGATTCCTGCTCTTGCAGATCTGCATCTGCAAGGCAAGGTATGTTATGTGCAGTTTCTTCTTTGCTTTATGGGTATATTTGGTTTGTTTTCTGGTGTTCAGTTAGCACCTTTTGTTGTATTTTTTGTAATGTGTTGGAGGTGTATTTCTTCCACATCTTGTTTTGACATCTTGGTGGTTGTGTTTTTGCCTGATAAACACAAGTTTGGTGCTCTTTCTGGTATATGTAGACTGTAGTGCAATTCTGTTCTTGTATATATTACCTTGAAACCCTTTAGCGCTATTATTGCCAATATACTTGTTTTCGGCATCTGGGTCATTGCGCTTATGCTGATAATCATGAGTTTAGGCGCTCTTTCTGGTATATGTAGCTCATATTTGTTCTTATATTGCCTTAAAAGTTTCCCCTTTAGCCTTTTGTGGCTTGTTGATTCTTTCTCTGCCTACACTCAAGGTTTGGGTTATTATCTTTCTCATTTTTGAAGCAACTTTGAGTACTTAGCTTTTGTTTTATGTTCTAGTTGGTGTATCTTTTTGCAATATTTGATTCTCTCTCTCTCTCTCTCTCTCTCTCTCTCTCTCTCTCTCTCTCTCTCTCTCTCTCGTTAAGGTAGGAGTATGTCGTCATGGGTTCCTTTGGTAGGAGTATGTCGTCATGAGTTCCCTGGGGATGTTAAAATTTAAATTGCGGAATAATGCGTGTGGCTTTTGTTGGTTCAAAGTTTGGTTACCCACAAAAGGGTGGTTAGGTGGTGTTTCACTGATGTGTTTTTCAATTGTGTATGTCCAGGAAATGTGTGTTATTTTATTTATAGGAGAAGGGTATTTAGGTGGTGTTTCACTGATGTGTTTTTTCTCAATTGTGTATGTTTAGGAAATGGGTGTTTTTTCTAGGAAAATCTTCCCAGCTTGTGGGAGCATGTGTGTATGTTGCCCAGCTTTGAGGCCAAGCTCTCAAAAACCCGTCAAGCGTTACAAGAAACTACTGTCTGATATATTTCCCAAGTCTCCTGTGAGCATTCGTTCTTCTCTTTCAGTTTTCTTGCTGTAACTTTTCATACTGGCTTGATGGCTAGCATATAGTTTGATTATGAGAACTGAAAAGCCAGATACCATTTTTATTTTACTGATTTAAGGTATGTGCTTGTCTATCTAAGCTAGCCACCTATGAGCATTTTAAATTTGAGTTTTGAGTAACAAAGGGTGCCTTTGTCATGTAATGCAGTTCATGGCTGCCATGCTTTTGAGCTTATTGCAAATTTTAGTGATTTCCTGATATATAGTGCCTATAGATCAATTATGAGATCCTAGATGCAATCTATTGGGTTTAGCATTTAAGTTTATGGTACTACTCTATTAAACTTGTTGGCTACTTGGCTACGAGCATTTTAATTTAAGCTTTATATAACAATGGGAGCATTGATATCACATTACAAGAGTACTCGCTGCTATGCCTTTTCTTGCGAACTTTAGGTTATAATTTTTCCATTTATTGTTACAGGTGGTGTGTCTCTACTTTTTTGAGAGTAGTATAGTCCCATGTTCATGGAAAAAATTGCACACCTGTGCTAGTTGATTTGCCTTGGGATTTGAGGATGTATCATTTGAAAATTTTGTAATGTTAGTCACTTAGTCCTACATTTGGATCTTGGAACAGGGGAGAGTGTAGTAACTGCTTTGTGTTGATAAGCAGCTCCCTTGGTGCCCTTTTGAGGATCATGATTTAGTTTTCAGCCTATCTACTTTTTTATTGACTTTTGACACAATTTTTAAAGCCTCACATTGCTGTGCAGGATGGTCAATCAAATGATAGAAAAATTGCTAAATTATGTGAATATGCTGCAAAAAACCCTTTCCGAATCCCTAAGGTAGTAATTGTCATCCTATCCTTTCTTTCTGCTTCTGATTGGTTTAGGCTTAAATTATTGCATGACAACTTAAGTATTGCTGTTCTGTATTAGATTGCAAAATATCTTGAAGAAAGATGCTACAAAGAGCTGCGATATGGGCACATCAAGTTCGTCAATATTGTTACAGATGCTTACAATAAGTTACTTTGTATGTGTAAAGAACAGATGTAAGAGTGACGTAGCTCTTCTCTTCTTTGTGTCATTTCTTTTGCTGGATGATTTACTATGAATTGTCTTTATTTTCATCTTGCAGGGTCTATTTTGCTGTTAGTTTGCTTAATGTTGTTAGTGAATTGCTTGATAACTCCAAGGAAGACTCTATGTGGATACTTGGATGCCAAACCTTGACACAGTTCATCTATAGTCAGGTAAAGTTCTTTCCTAGTGATATCTGGAGAAGAAAAAGAAAAAATAAACAAAGAGAAACTATTTATGCAGAGAAGAGAATATAAATGGCTTAAATAGCTGATTCACTTTTTATAAAGTAAGGATTGGAAGTCAGGTCAGCAAGGTATTGATGATTAGATACTAGTTTCTGGC